CCACTCTCATCCCAATTCCCCGCTTTCTCCTCAGACCCCTTTACAGTCTACCTCTTCAAATATTTATCCAGTTCCCTTGTAAATGTATTATATGGTCTCAACTTCCAAAGCCACATGCCTTTGGCTTCAGCCATTGCAGGAACCGTGGACTATAAACATGTTTGGAACCTTGTTTTGGCAGATTTCATCATTTATCTTGTGATAGAGAAGATGTTTCCTTCAATAGATCGAAGCATTCCTTAATCCAGAACCCATTCCCTACAGATACACGGACATTAATAATATAGGGCACACACTTACCAGGTAAACATTTTTAAAAATTTTAAATTTTAAAACAAATCAAATAATTTGCCAACTCAACACCCGAAGCGAATTCCTCAGGTGATGCTCAGCATCTCTCGACTGCCGAGTCAAATCTCCTTAGAGTTCAGCTTTCTGGCATTTTTATTTTCTAAAGACAAAACTTCATTGTGCGAAGTTATGCAACAAAAAAAAACCCAGAAAAAGAATGCATTTTGTTTTAAAAAAACAAAGTAAAAATCGTTTCGCCCACAAAATACGCAATTAATTCACGTTACAAGAATATACTCCGTGAAGCGCTTTGAAACATCTCAACACCGTGACATGAAATGCAAGGATTATTGTAATAACAATTATTATTATTATTACTATTACATTACTCTGAATCTAGAAATTTTTGAATCTGTATCCAAAGTTAGCCCTGATCAGTCCCTTGCATGACTTAGAAGAAACTTTTGCAGACAGATTTTATTTTCAGAGCAGCAACGAAAAAAAAGGAACCCAATCAATCCTTGGATCTTAAACTGATGCTTGTTCATTCACTTTGGGTTTATCCTGCTCGGATACACTGGGCAAGGCTGACTCCGGCACTAATTAATTATTTCGCACTGTCAAGGAAAAAAAAATATGATTTATTTATTAGAACAGAATTGAACTACCGGATTAACAAATCACAATAAAGTAACATGAGGTCATCGCTTATTTATTATTGAAGCCCCTGAACTGTGCAGCAAGGGTGGATGGATGCAATGTTAATTCAATTAAAACAACACGACGTAAAACTTGAGGGAAATGTATCTGCAGCAAAATAAATGCACACACACACACACACACACACACAATCGGTACGTGAAAGCTTCCCATACTTACATGGTGTATAACTTAGTCGGGATTTTTTTTTTTTTTTTTTGGGGGGGGGGGGGGACTTTTATTCGGCTTTTGCTGTCTGTTGACTGTCATATGCAATGTTCCCACGCGAGAGAGAGAGAAAAAAAGTGCGTGTCAAAGGCAACTTGGTGTTTTCCAGTGGAAACGAAGCGAAAGGATAAGAAACCATGGTGCAGACAACACATAGCAAGGCGACGCGTTCTTCCTTCGCTGGGCGAGATGCTGTGCAAGCCCGGGGCGGGCTCAGTCAGTCACTCAGTCCAGTCCAGTCCAGTCCAGTTGGGTGTCAGTTGAGTTGAGGCTCCAGATCTGAGCTGCAGGCTGGTTGGTGGCTGTCTTTGTGTTGGCTCATTCACTGCTGGCACAGTACCCGACTCTGTGAACACTCTTTAATTCTCTGATCCTGCCTTTCCCCGGCAAGTGGTGTGGAGTAAAAAAGTGCCAGTCTGTGTGTGTGTGTGTGTGACTGATGATATTGGACATTTAAAGGGAACCCTCCCCCCCTCCACCCCCCACCTCCCACTCCACACCCCCCCCCCCCAACGATGCACTGATATGAACGATGCTAAACATAGACAAACCACCGCAGCATATGTTACTGTTCACTAACATCAGGCACCACCTGTCTCCACCACTATCATTCCTCATTTTTTTTTGGTGGGGGGGAGGGGGGGGGGTTAAAAAAAAAACCCAGAGCTAATATCAGTTTCTATGTTTTATATAGTCAGGAAGAAATATGTTTCGGAATCCTGGAATAAGTTGATCTGCTTTTGCTGGAGAAAAAGGGCAGGGAAATCAATTGAATTTAAAGGTGACATTTTCAGAACTCGTTCTGCCGTTGTGCCAAACGCTTTCGCAGCTCTTCCACAACGTCGCTGCGTCTCTTAGTTCATCCGAGTGCTGTCAATAGGAACACAGGAACAAAAGGAGGCCATTCAGCCCCTCGAGCCTGTTCCGCCGTTCTATTAGATCATGGCTGAGCTGTACCTCAACTCCAGTTACCCCCCTTTGCCCCATATATCCCTTGATACCGTTACCTAACAGACATCCATCCACCCCAGTCTCCAAAATTTGAATGGACTCGGCATCTGTGTGCCTTTTGGGAATTATATTATTGTGGGGGTGGGGGGCGTGTGGGGGGTGTGGGGGACACTTTCTGTCAGGACAGACACACGATTCGGACTCGAACGAGAAACATTGCATTGGTTCTGTGCAAAGCGCAATGCAGGCGACTGTCCATGAGATTCCTCCTTAACTATAGCGGGTTTGAGGATACAGTGCTTTATCAAAAGGAGGTCAGTCCCAACACTGCGTTGGAAGCATCACAGGTCCATTCAAAAGTTGTCCAGACTGGGGATGCGCCACTTCATTCCCGACACTGGTTAAATTAAAAGCGATTTGCATGCACTCCCAACACTAACTTTCTGCGCCAAAGAGAGCGAGGGAGAGAGAAAGAGAGAAGGAGAGAAAGAACAAGAAAGGGGGGGGGAAAAACCCCCAACACCATTCTATTCGGCGACTCTTTTAAAGTGCTGATCATTGTTCTCTGAAGCAATTAACATTCTCCCTCTGGAGGGACATTCTCCCTCTGGAGAGCATCCAGGGCAGGAATTGAAAGCAGTCACCTGGTATAATTTGGCAATCAATCGCACCTTTTTTTTTGCTGAACGAATAAAGTACTTGACCGCCTCAGATAACATTTCGGGAACTAAAGCATTAACGAGATAACGTTTACCAGACTGGTAAGCTGTCGCTGCCAACGTTTATTTTGATGAGACCATCACACTCTGGCACCAGCAGAGAATAAGCCACTCCGTTTGCCGGGGATGATATCTCGTCTGATCAGGTAAGGGATTGGGTTGGGGCTCTCCCAGTTTGTTTGCTGTTAAGACTCCGAGGCTGGTTGCATTGACTGGTGTTTTATGTGTGTGTGTGTGGTGTTTTATGTGTGTGTGTGTTCTGGAGCACTAGTGGAAGGGGGAAAAATAAGGGAATCGTTATTGTTATTTAATTATCACTTCCACGATGAAACATCATTTTCTTCGTTTCGACTGGGAAAATAAAATTGAGCTGTAAATCATGCTGTACTTCTCGTTAAAGCTTGCTGATTGGTAAGTCAATAACAGCGTGAATTAGGTAAAGATTCATGAGCCTAAGTGCAAGCAAACTCCGGGGCCACTGCTCCACTGTACACATCCACTGGACGCTTCCCTGTCTGATATTCCACTGTGAACAAAAAACACTGACGAGGCTTCTGTTCAACCGACGAACCATAAACTTCAAAATGTGCATCCCAACCAGAGAAAATAATAAACCCTCTTCACACACACACACACACACACACACACATCCGCTTCTCTACTCCATCAACAGTTGTCTGACTCGAATCTTAAGCTCTGCGCTAAGCCTTTTTGCAGAGGTCATAATACCAACTTTATTTTCAGTGATGCATAAATTAATTACACGCATTTAATAACCAAAATATCATTATATTCCCCCCCTAATATCATAAAAGCTTTACGCTGGGGAAACACTTAATAGTGCAGGGGGCCGTAACGGGCTATTATCCTTGTGTAATGCTATTACAGAACCAATTACGCACCGTTATGCTTCCCTTTTCTTTGCAGTTTGCGCGAATTAGCCCATTCCCGCGCCCCTGATTTGAAATTTTCACCGAGTACTTAAAGGCTAATTTGCAGGAGGCAGCGACCAGAGCTCGATCTGTCTGCTCTGGGTCTCTAATGTGTTTTAAAAAGTAATTTAAGTGCCCCCCTCGCACGCCGTTTGCGAGGGGAAATGCGGCATTAATCGAAGTACCCCTTACTGTGAGCAAAATCAAAATCTGCTTGTACGACAGCGGGGGTATTGAAGCCACTTTTCCCCCAGCGCTTTGCTGGAGCCTGTGATGTGCAATCGGGGGGGGGGTGTGTATTGATTTTAAATATGACAATAGTATGTATAATCGTGCCAGGTATGGAAGTGGTGTGGGGGGGGGGGGAGAGAGGAAAGGAAGGGGCTGCCTTATGCACACAAAGTGGTCCCACCCGCCAGAGGATGGTCCAGGAGGATGCATAATAACTATCTCCAGAACAAAATTGTGTGTGGGATATTGTGTGCATGTGTGTGTGTGTGTGTGGAGGGTGGGGGGGGAGGTGGACAATAAATTATATTGCTCAGAAATGACGCTCCAGACCACGTGTGCACTTTGGCAAAAAAAAAATAGACCCGGAGGGGGTCTATCCAAGTTACTCACAGAAGACAATGCTGGAAATAATTAGATTAAGGCCAATTATGCGTGAGATTATAAAGGCAAGTTGCTGAGAGGCTGAACATGCTGCAGACAGATAAAGACATCTGGTCACTTACACGCTGAGGGTTGGACCATCGCTGCCAGTAAGAGCTCCAAGTCTCCCTGTACACACGTCTCTCTCTCATTTCTCTCTCTCTCTCTCTCTCTCTCTCACTCTCACTCTCTCTCTCTCTCTCTCTCTCTCTTTCAATTCACTTTTCTTGGCTTCAGTTTTACACGCAGGTATGGAGCACGACACTTGTGATTTGATTTGATTCGATGTGATGGTTGCACATTTATTTTTTTTTGCCAATGGAACGCATTTTCAGCACAGGGGGACACACACACAAAATGAAGCGCAGTTTGCAGTAACGTACGAGTGTGTGCGTGGGTTTGTGTGTGTGCGTGTGTGTGCGTGTGAGTGTGTGTGTGTTAAAAAGGCTAAATATGACCATTTTCTCCCCCCCCACACCCCTAGAATACGCAGTGCATTTTTCCTGGTTTTGCTGCCCTCTCTTCCACGATGTTTTATTTCCACTGTCCTCCGCAGGTGGATGGGGAGTGCTGTCGTACTAATACCTGTAAGTAAGATTTATGTCTCTCTTAACGCATGCAAACGACTGACTCCGTGCAATGCATTTTCACACACACACACACGCACCACACTTATATGAATCTTAGTTATATTTCGGTCTAGACTCTGCCTCGGTGCCTGGGAATTAAATCAGACCCGCAAACGTCGGAATTTGGAACAGCAAACCACTCTTTCCTCCTCACGCTCTGCTAAACTCTGTCAGATCGTTACATCATTATTTAAGGTGCAGCACACCTTAAAGCAAAAAAAAACCTGCTTCAAGCACTACCCCCCCCCCCCCCCCCACCCCCACCCACCACCACCACCACCCTCCCCACCACCACATACACAGAAGATCTCCTTCACTATTTCTATCTGGTCTCAGATGTCACTGAATAACCTTTGATCCACAGGGCAGTGTTAGCTGACTGTAGAATTGAGGGACTGCTCTTCACCCCCTTTGCAGAGGACCGTGCAATGCGTTGCATTCAATGCTTCAATTTGTCCATTTACGACTTTTGCCGAAATGGTCACCGAATACTTCAGTTTAACGTATTTGAACACTTGAGAGGAAACCGTTGACCAGTTGCCGAAAATGTATCTCGAGGGCTATTTGAGTCATTCGAAAGAGATAGTCGCCAATAGAGTTCCCAATACAAATGGTCTACTGAGTAAGATTGTGTGTCTGCGTGTCTGTAGGTGTTTGCAAGTGTGGGTTTGTGTATGTGTGTTGTCTGTGTGTGTGTGTGTGTTTGTTTATATTTGTGTGTTTGTTTATATTTGTGTGTATATGTGTGTGTGTGTGTTTGGGTGTGTTGGGTATGAGTGAGTGTGTGTGTATGTGTGTGTGTGTGTTTGTGTGTGTGTGTGTTAGAAACTGACACTCCCGGCAGCATTTTGCCACCTGCTTCCCCTCTGTGGATAGAGAGAGAGAGAGAGAAAAGAAACCCTTACTTTTGCCTGAGGGTAAAAGGAGACTTTTCTTTTGCCATCGCAGATGTTTAGTGTCATGCTTCAAATCAACGCTTTAAAAACGTCGTCACGCTCCTCCCTTCGCCAAACGGCCCGCATTAATCTTTTATGTTATTTTGCAAACAAATTGCAAAACAACAAGAGATTGAGGGACAGAGAGCGTTTGAATGAAAGCCCTTTGACTCGCCTGTACCAGACGGCCGGGTTTTGACATAGGTGATGAAGATTTATTTCCACTTGTATGAGGACAAACATTTTTTTTAAATGATCTCCTCTGTGTGTGTGCGTGTGTGCGTTTTACTTCGACCGATGATCTTTTCTGCAGGTTATTTCACTCTTTCAAGCAAAATTGCACCCACGATTTTGACATTAAGTCAAACATATTCTAAGGTTAAGGTGTCCAACACAAGGTGAAAAGTTCAGGCGATCTACTTGTGCATATTGGCAGATGGAAGCGATTCTTTCCTTTTTTTAAAAAAAATAATACTAGCTTTTTGGGGGGAATAATAATATTAGCTCGTGCCTTTCCCCACAAAACACACAGTCAATCCACTTCATACGTTCTGAGATGTCTCAACAACATGATAAGGCGCTATCTCAAATGCAAGGATTATTATTATTATTATTATTATCATTATTTTCATAATTATTATTATGAAGCTCACAATGCACATAATGGCTTGTGGCCAACATGGTACCAGTGGCTGAAAAATCAGGACTTTTTTATTATTTTATTATTAAAAATTGCACAGTACAAACACAGTATATATATATATATACACTGTACAAACACATATTTTTTGAAGGTGCGATTGAACAAATCTTGTTTTCATTTGATCAGATTGTCTCTTTTCTCTGCGACTTTCTTTCTTCCTTTTCTCCAAGTGAATTCTGGTAACTTTGGTGGCCACAGCACCAGTGATTTCGATGATGGTTTTCTACGCAGGAAACAGCGCAGAAACAGGACAACGTTCACCCTTCAGCAGGTCGGTTGCTCCTTGCTTTTGCTTTCTGCTGTCACTGAATCGTGTCGTTCAAAGTGATTTTTATTCAAAGGGCATTTGCATTAACGAGGCCCATTGCAGGGCAATTGGTCCTTAAAGGAGCATTCGAGTCTAATAATTCGCATTGCAATCTATTTCATGGTACAATCTAGCAATCCACATTATAATCTAACAATTCATATTACAGTCCAACAATTCATATTATAATCAAACAATTCACATTATCAGCTCACCATTCACGTTACAATCTAATGCATATTACCGCCTAATAATTCGTATTAAAGTCAAACAATTTAGATCACAGTCTAACAATTCATATCACAGTCTGACAATTCACATTATCATCCAACCATTTACATTACAATCTAATTCAGTACAATACAATCTAATTCAGTACAATACAATCTAATACAGTCTAACCATTGAGATTACAGTCTAACAATTCACATTGCAATCTAACAATTCAGTCGGTGAAAGTTTTCCAGGTCCTCTTCGAACTTTGACGGCTAATGTTTGAAAGCTCAGGCGATTAGGGTCAATGTCTGACCATTGCCAATATACAGTGCTTCTCGATGAAACGTGCAGAGATTTTAACGAAGTAAATACAAGATACGGTATAACAAATATTATATTTATTATAATATATTATACTTATTATACGCACTGTGTAGAGAATAAGGTCTGGCAACTCTGCTTTCTCGTTGCGTGTTGATTTAGTGATGTGCATAAAGTTCTTTTATATATATATATGTGTATATATATATTTCTTTCTCCTCTAGTTAGAAGCTTTAGAAGCTGTGTTTGCACAGACACACTATCCGGATGTATTCACCAGGGAAGAACTTGCTATGAAGATTAACCTCACGGAAGCGCGGGTTCAGGTAAATTTTCTTTTAACAAGAGATGCACAGAGAGACTTAAACCATCGAGGGGTTTTTTTTTATTTTGATGCCATCAGTGCAAAGTGCACATTTGGCCGGAGATAAAAAAAAACAAATGAAAGACTATCTGTCATTTATGTGATGCACTTTAATAACGTCAACATAATGTGGAATATTAGATTAGGTTGATTAATCGGTCATTCATAATTAACTAGTGATAATGTTCTACACTAATTTGTCCGCGTCTCTAAGGCACTGAATTACATCGATGTACATCCATTTCCTTGCCTTGGAAAAAAAAACCTTTCCAAACTGGTTCTTACAACCTGAACCAAATCCAATGGCTATTTTTGCTGAACGCAGTCAGTCAGTATCAATCTATCTTAAATCGAGTTGCTGGTTTATTATAGACCCCCCCTCCCCCCATCCCATCCCCAACCCCCTCCTCTTTAGCACAAAGGATGGACATTTAAATTGGGACTTTTTTTTTAATAAGCATGTACATTTATAAAGCCTTTCGGAATTGCTTGAGGTGAGATCTAATTGTACGAATTATAACAGTTTGCCTTCAGTTCCTCTGGGGTCGCGGTCGCTATCGTTTAAAACCCAATGAATGCGGAGAGATAATGGAATTCATAGCTCTAAATTAGGGATTGTAAACATATTATTCTTCTGTAAACGGATTAGGGGGATTGCTCTTATTAAATCTTGGACATGAATCGGCGTTCGCACAGAGGCATATGATTATTTTCGAATGAAATCCTGTTTTTAGACGTATTTTTAAGTGCTCACTCAACGTCGCCTGGTCCCCCGTGCCTTAAAAAACCCCCCACTGCAAATTAAGATAAATGTAGCAATTAGACAGACATTCAGGATGGGTAGATCACGACTTTGTGCTGGAAGGTGCAGGGGTGAGATAGCAAATGGAGACAATTACCTGCGAACATTACAGCCTGATTTTTTTTTGAATGACTATTTTAATTTTTTTTTAAACCTTTTCTCCCCCCCCCCCCCACCCCCTGTGAGACAAAAGCACTCTCATTTTCTCTCTCCTCCTTTTCCCCCCCTCCCACCCCCACCCCCCCAACCCCAATCACACACACACAACACACACAAAACACACACAAAACAGACAGAAATACACACACACAAAATGCATGGCAGACATCTGCAGGCGAAAGAAAGCCTTTGCCACTAAAATATGATTAATGCGTTAGAAAGCCGAGCCTTAATCGAAGCTGATGTTGTCAAACAATCACTAAATAGGAAATAAACGACTTCATCATGCATGTTACTCGGTAGTAGGCTAACTGTCAGCGGAAAGTCATTAAAATATGATAATGAAAAATTGCTCAATTAAATGTTGTTATATCCAATGACCTTCATTCAATTATGATGCAAGCAGTTGTCTGCATCTGGTCTACACTTAACTGACCCAAGTTTACATGATTATAAAGTCATTAATATCTTTGTGAAGCTGCCTTGCAATTTAAAATCGCGCACATAGAGATGGGGAGAGAGTGGTCTGTCTCTCAGCGCTCTGGGATCCGGGCAGAATTAGGGGGGGGGGGGGTGGTGGTGGGGAAATAGATTAAATTAATACGTATAATTCTGATATGTATTTATTGCTTTCGGTCGCAATGTGTACCCAGTGACTATTAAACCCACGCCCATCGCTCCTCAGATAAGCGCTCAGGTCTACTTTCCAAAGAGGAAAAGAAGAAGGCAGCCCCAGAGGTGACACTCAAAACACTGCGGGTGGATGTGGGCTGAGAAGTTAGTGGGGAGATTCAACAGAAATTAAAAAAAAAGGTTTCAAATGCAATGCTTTCATTGCCCATTTCGACGCATGATATTGGGTGCAAACAGCGTTCAGTCGAAATATCATTCCGTTCAGGTGACTTTTGTACTGATGTGTCTACAAGATTTCTGGTTGGAAAGCATTAGGTTGTGGTGGTGTCAGTGAGATTGCTGAGCTGGAGGGGGTGGGGTTGGGGCGGGGGGGGGGACGGGTATTTAAATCAGGATTCATTGCCATGTGGGTTTGGGAGAGAGGGAGAGAGAAAGAGAAAGAAACGAACTTGGAATTTGGAATGAACGTGAATATTGTTTTCATGTATTTCTTTTATTATTATTATTATTATTATTATTAATAATAGCAATACTACTAATACACTTGGTTTGCTTGGTGACTTGATGCGATGGGCAGGTGTGGTTTCAAAACCGCAGAGCCAAATGGAGAAAGACTGAGAGAGGCAATTGTGACCAGGAAGGAGGCAAAGAAACTGGAGCAGATGGATCTCCGCCAGTCAGGAACTTAAACTCTCCTTCTCAGGTAGAACAGAACAGGAACAAAAAGGAGTCTGTGGACATGCAAGGGTAAGTGATGGTCTGATGACAATCTTTGGAGCAATGCACTTTAAATTGGATTAATTGGATGGTGGGGAGGGAAGTGAGACCCAAAAACAAAGAAATCTCAACAACAAAAAAAAGTGGATTTCAAAATTGCTCTCAACTCATGTTGCAACTTGTGTTCTCAGTCTGAACAGGTCTGTGGGGCCAACAGCTCCCTTCTTCCCCTCCTGCCTACCCAGCACGCTGCTCAACACCGCCACTTACGCACAGGCGCTGACCCAAGTCGCCACGTTAAAAGGTGAGGGAGACCTTGGCTCTGGTTATCTCACTCAAGTTGTTCAAGTGCAAATCTGTAGCAACCGTGTCTTTTGCACGTTTGTGTATGTGTGTGTGTGTGTGTGGGGGGGTGGCAGGTAACAGCTACTCATATTTTTTGGCTCAGAGCTGTGTCATGTACTTGCTGGTAGTGATCTCCAATCAAAAACATAGTTGGGGGTGTCACTGGCTAATTGACTTGCAGTCACAGCACATGGTGTGTTGCTGTTTGGGGCTGGGGTGTTGCAGTAAGGATTGGGATTGCAGATCTGATGCTAACACTCCGATTTCCAAACCGTGCTCCACACGCCTGCTTATCTGGGCAGTAATGGACAACATGATAAAGCACTATATCAAATGCAAAGCTTATTATTATTATTTCCCAAATCAATGGGAATTCGATGTGTACAAACGCTGCACCGGTTGCACTTCGGTACCACTCTGTGTGGAAGGATGCTGCCTCACACACTCACAGTTAAACCATTACGATTTATAAACAGAAAGTGTAAGCACTGAGTCAAGATTCAAGGACCCCCACCCCCCTCCACCCCCCTCACCCACCCACCCACACACAGACACCCAAGGTTCTAGATTATCTCACTTGAAAGTTTAAAGGATCCAGGTGGAATTAGAAGTTAACATTTTGTTGAAAGACTACTGTAATAGCTGCAGTTTAAGTAAGTTTTGCCAAGTTTTCTTGTCGATTGAGTGTGCCATAAAGATAAAGGCAGATTTATATTTTATTCATTAGGTATTTATACTCCAGCTACTGGTGATGTAATATAATGGTTTGTCTTGTTCTACTTGTTCAGCAGAACAATAATTGCATCCTTAAAACAGTCATGGCATGGCTTAAGCCAGAAATCCCACCTCTTCCTAGCTTATAAGACTATTTTGGTTTAAAATTTGAGACCCAGTTGAAATGTGGGACATTCTCAAATCCGGTCTTAATTCAGAAGACAATTCTTTTTATAAAGAACCAAAATTGCAAAAGTGACTTCCCGATTAATATTTTTTTTGATCAGGCTTGGGGTCTGACACGTGCAGAAACCCATCACCAAGCTTTAAAGAGTATCCAAACCAGATCATATTTTGTGAATCAAATCAGGGCACACATATAACAAGAAATTGAATTCACCACAATTTCTGATGCTGGCAGTACTAGAGAAGCTAGTTGGATCAGAAATCTATCACCATGCTTAAGAGTAGTCACCCTAACAGATGTATGCCACCTACCCATGGACATTTATTTCCGCTTTCCATAAAGAATGAAATTAAGTATTTTCCACAATTTTCTTATCTTAAAATTAAACCTGTTATTTGAAAAATCACAAATTATGCTGTCTTAAAAATGTAAGAGTAAAAATGGTCTCACAGGCTAAGACTAGATGGATCTTGGGAGATAGGGAAGAGATGGAAATGGGAAGTTATTGTCTAAGCTTATTGCTCAAGATCAGGCTATAGCTAAAGTAAAGATCAAAAACCCAATGGAGTAACTCAGGTTAACTTTTTGGAAACAAGAAGGTGTCCAAAATTCCTAGCTCAGTACAAACAGGAAAGGATTCTGCATCCAGTTTATTTTGACCTCAAAAACACAGTCAATTCACTTTACAGTATTTTCTGTGAAACGCTTTGAGACGTCTCAACAATGTGGTAAGGCACTATATCAAATTCTTGGATTATTGTTATGATTATGATTAATATCATGAATAATTGACTACTCCTCCTCTGGTGTGGTTTTCTTTATAAATGTCACACATCTATCCACCTTGAGTACGCAGAAGATTTTGTTTTGGAGTGTAAAAGTTTTCAATACAGTAATTATGTGGCTTGTTGTGAAATGTTACCCGCATAAAGGCCACTATATAAATGTAAGTTGTTGTTGTGGGGAATGTTTCGGTTTGAAACTGTATGAAATTAGCGAAGGAAGAAGTACCAGACAAAGCAGTCTTGTGTATACAATTATGAAAGCATTCGATAAAGTGGATTTTGATAGATTGTTGATGAGCCCAAAAGAAGAGGGTGTATCAGTGGAAGATATAATAGGGAATCTAGGAAGAACTTCTTCATGCAGAGGATGAGAATGTGGAACTCATTGCGGGAAGCTGTGGTTAAATCATGTAGCAGCAATGTATTTAAGAGAAAACTTGAGGTGTACTTGAAGGAGAAGGAAATGGAGCTGGGTGGGAGAAGTGGGCTTGTGTAGAGTATAAACACCAATACAGAGTATTGCCTGTTGAGTTTATATTATTACATATTGTTTTATGTAACTCTATAATGCAATATCCTGAGGATGTTGTAACAAATTGCAACAGAAATTGAATGTACATAATATATATATGTGTATATAATATATATGCCTAAACTATAACTATACTGAGTAATTTAAACCCCCAATTAATTGTAGAAGTAAACATTCCAGTCTGAAGTGTCACTGTTTTTGTTTTAAAGCAGAAACACTTTGATTTAGGTAAATAACAGCGAGAATGAATAACAGCAACTTAGCTAATGCCATGTTATGTTTCAAGGTGGAAACATATGGTCTATATATTGGCATTTTAGCAAAGATCCAGTAAAGTATTAATAATAAGGAACAATAGTACCAGAAAAGCCACAGGTGGTGAACTAATTTTAGCAAATTGTCACAGAATGAATTGTTGAATTTGTACAAGCAGTTTTCGTACTAATTCTCAATTATGCTATGTTTATATAATGTTCAACCGATGACATACCCAATGTTCTCTGGTTTGGAATTTATGTTTAGTTAGTCTTACTCGTCCATTGAATTTGAACTTTATCTAAAACAGGCACGGTAGTTTGAACTATGAGCTTTATTAGACTTGGGGAATTAGATAACATTCCCCATGCAAAGGAATCTGAATTGACCGCTGCATGTTCAATTCCAGCAGACCATAGATGTGACAGTAGTCTGGTTTAATTTTCTGTACTCATCCAATACAAAGACAAAGAGAAATAAACCAAATTGAGATAATATTTAGATGCTTTCTAAGGGTGCATTTTCTTCGCTTCATATTAGCTATAATTTGGATTTTTTTAAATATGTATATGTGATATGTATATATACATATATATATGTATTTAGAGATACACTCACTTTTGGTTTAATAATATAAACTCAAACGGCAATGAAACATGAAACAGGATCTGTCGTGGTTGTTGCTTCCAATGCATTGCCCATTGGATCATTGTGTTTAAATTCTATGGACAATGAAACCCCCAGTTCTCAGAACCTTTCTTTGAATAGCAAACTTTTAAACAAGTAACTCCTGTGGACCATCTATCAGATTTCTGATTTGGGGAAGAGGGGAGTTTAATCAGCCAAATTTAGCTCGACCCTGATGTTCTCAAATGAACAGATTGATTCAAAGCCCACAGTGCCCCGCACTCTGGACAGCTGAACATTCAAAACACACACTGACTCTGTGGTCACTTCACAATATCCCAAACTGCCCCAAATCTGAGGAAAGCGACAGGTACAGAGTCCAGCCATCAGAGATCGTTTTGTTTGAGGATCCCAGTATTAGATTATTTGACCAGACAGGACAGAATATTTAGTTCCTTTCATTAAAGCTTCCAAAAAACTCTGAAATGAATTACAAGATGCTTCTAAATATCTGCACTGCCATGTTTGACAAACAAATTGATGGAAATTGGGATCAAGATTCCAGTTGGCTTCCTCTCTGTTTTCCACACAGTAGTATTACAGTATTTTCAAAATAACTAGCATTCCCACAAAAGATTGCCAACTTCAGCCTCGATGGAGAAACTGAGAGAAATTGATAATAATAAACAATAATCCTTGCATTTGATATAAAGCCTTATCACGTCGTTGAGATGTCCCAAAGAGCTTCACAGAATATACTGTAAATTGACTGAATATTTTGAGGGTGAAACGCAGCAGCCAATTGCGCACGGCAGTGTCCCACAAACAGTCGTGGATGGAGTGACCAAATAATTATTATTATATATAATTATATATATGTTTGGTTGGGGAGGGAACAGAATTCATACCTGCCTCAGTGGGTGCTAGAAGTTTGTTATAGTTCAGTTCAGTGCAATAATTTGACACAAAATGGAAGATTTTTCAAGTGTTCTTTCTGCTTTATAGCTGGCAAAATCATCCCTCCGCCCAGTTATAAACCCCACCTCAGGACTTTGAGTCTAGGCTGCCACTCCAATGCAATGCTGAGGCTGGAGCGTTGTATTGTCGGATGAGCCGTCCTTTAGGTGAGACTTTGAAACCGAGATCCCGTCTGCCTGTTCAGGTGTACATCAAAGATCCCATGACACAATTTGAAAAGAAAAGGGGGTTTCTCCCAGTTTCCTGACCAGCAATTGTCCTAGATAAAATTGATGATTCATTGACTGTTTGTGGGACAAATTGGCTGCACATTTGATTACAAATACACAGTTACTACACTTTATAGTAAATCTTTGAGGCCCTTTGCACTTTACTTTATTTTTGCCTTCAAAATACTTACAGTGAAGCTCTTTGAGATGTCTCGGGATGTTTTCAAAGATGCTATATCAAATGCAGGAATTATTTATGATTACACCTAACTGAGGAATTTGAAAGGATATTATCCTCTTTTTAATTAAAGTAATCCTGGTGCTCACACCAGGCAACTGAAAGTGGCAAGGAAGAAGATGTGTGTGCAATAGATCAGTGTTCCTTTACATAGATTTTAATCATCAGCAGTTTTGTCTAACCTAGATCATAAGACTATAAGAAGTAGGAGCAGGAGTAGACCATTCGGCCCTTGAGCCTGCCCCGCCATTTAATAAGATCATGGCTGATCTTCTAACCTAATTCCATTTACCCGCCCCCTCCTCATATCCCTTAATCCCTCTATTTAGAAATCTATCAATCTCAGTCTTGAATATGTTCCCTTTAAGTGCGTACAGAAATATGTATATCTGGCAAGCCTCAGTTCAGTGTGAATTTAGGCTTCACGCACATTTGTGCAGGGATTGACTTTCTTTAATATAACGGTGCGTTTAAAGAACATATTTTCCTACGGTGTGTTTATTGCAATAATAATCCTTCTATTTGATATAGTGCCTTATCCCTTTATTGTATTGCAAATTGTAGTGTATTATCATGTTGTTGAGAAATCTCAAAGCACTTGACAGGATTTACTGTAAATGTAGTGACTGTGTGCTTGTAGGCGAGTTGTATCTTAGGGGGGAAAATTGCAGTAAAATATTTCTATTGCAGTAAAATAGAAACAATTAAAAGAAGACATTTACAAATGTTTGCATCCTTGAATCATTTCTGGAAGTTTCCAACCTGAAAGAAACAGCTCCATTATCTAAAACAATAACAATATAGGTGAGTTGCATTGTGCATTGAGATGCAACCTTGAAAATGATGAGTTGGCGCACATTCAGATTGCACTCTCATCTGGGATACAACTGATAGAATAATAATGTTATAATAATCCTTGCTTTTGGTATAGCACTTTTCACGTTGGTCATTCACTCTGTGGGCTGTTTGTGGGACATTGCTGCACCCAGCGTCTTGGGACGTCCTCCCAGCATGAAAGGCTCTATACAAATGTCATTTGTTGTTGTTGTTGTTGTGTGCAAAATGGCTGCTGTGTTTGCCTGCAAAATACCAGTTTGAAATACAAATCGACCAGCTCAGCTAAACCTACCTAATCAGAAGAAAACATCTTGTTGTCCCAATGTGGAGCTCTGTAGCTCAGTGGTTAGAGCATTCACCTTGCAAGTGAGAGACCTGGGTTCGATTCTCGGCAGGGCGCAAAGTTGGGCAAGTTTCCTTACTCCACACGCCTCAGTTTACCGAGCAGTAAATCAAAAACCGCTGTTAGTCGATTGGTGGATCGCTTTTCTGGGGATAGTAATTTAAAAAAAATAATAAATTAGTCACTCGATCCACGAATGTTTGTGCATAATTATGCACCTCCTGTCCATAATTAGCTGCCACGTTTCACCCACGAAATGTACAGTAAATTCACTTGACAGTATATTCTATGAAGCGCTTTGAGACGTCTCAAAGAGGTGATAAGGTGCTATATCAGATGCAAGGATTACATATTTAGATTATTAATATACATTGTATGAATATTACGTGTTTGCTGAATGCATTTTAAAAAAAAATTGCTATTGAGATTTCTGCCTTTGTTTCAGGAAATCCTCTTTGCTCTTGCTGTGTGCCAGATCCAATGGGCCTGTCTTTCTTACCGCCGTATGGTTGTCAGAGTAATCGCACAGCCAGCGTTGCCGCACTGCGCATGAAAGCACGGGAACACTCAGAGGCAGTGCTTCAGTCTGCCAACCTCCTTCCTACAGCCATTGTCAGCCCTGCCCCAGGACCCAAGCCCCCTATGGACATCAACCAGGAGAAGCCAAGCCACCCCAAAGAAAAGATGGAAACGGAAAGGAACGTATGAGGGGGAGCAAGACGGAGCCCGGACTGTAGTAAAAGACACTGTTGATCACTTGATTGTGGACCTTATCCTCACACCTCGGAAGAGGTTGGATCTACCATATGATCAGAAAGCGGCTACAATCTGTACATAAGGAACCAGACAGAAAAAGGGCCACTGAGGTCAATCAGGCCGCTCCCCAAAAAACTGTACAAAAAAACTTAAGATGTTCTTAAAATGAGTCAAAGCCAAAAAAAAAAACAACAAAAAAAAAACGTGTATAGACCAATTCTGGATTTCCACAATGTAGCAGTTGGCTTCTTTTCTTTTTGTTTAACCATGTTGATTCCAACCCTGGGCCAGAATATCAAGCCTGATGGCTGGATAGGATAAGGCACCTTCCAAAGCCACCTTTGTGTTATTAACGGGCTTTGAGTGAGGATTTGAGTGGTTTCTAGGTCAGCGAAATGCCTTCTCGGTCAACACATGTTTCCCCCCCACTCCCAATGCAGCGGTTATCTCTTGCGCAGGTAAGTGAGCATAAAGCAAGGGTGAAACAAAACAAACGGCAACTGACATTTCTGCTATTGGTGTTCAGATGCAGTCACTTGTGTTACAAGCCGTGACCTTTCGTGTGCAATAATGCTCCAAGCTTCCAAGTCCTTTTAATACAGTGGACTCCTATTGAGTGGATAAACTGTTAGCAGGGATTCATATTGAAATATTAATAGCACAATTTCTGGTATACTTTCAACTGCAATGAAAGGATTTATGAATTTAATTTGTACGGTTAATTTTCACTTGAAGTTTTGATGAAATATGAAAATATTGTAGCTGGTACAGGAACATGAGTCATTGCTGCGTGCAACCTAGACTGTAAATACCATAAAACGTGTGATTTCAGTAGAACAAATATTGTTATTTAGTTAAGGACAAGATGAAGGTAGCACAGAAGAATTACACTGGGTTAAAGCCAAGGAATATTCAAATTGTCACTGGTATTTAACAGAAAAGCTTATGAATCGGGCATTTATATACAACAACATCTTGCATTTATATTGTGTCCTTCATGCAGGATAGCGTATTGGAGTGTTGCACAAGAGGTCAGTTTTGTAGGTGTGGCAGAATATTTCAGTATTGTCTCCCTAAAGCTGTCTGTGTTAGATTCCTTGCCGTATTATAGGAATGGTCAGTGTGTCCAAATCTGTAATTAATGCAATATTACCTCTCCCCTCTCTCTCCGCCTCCAAAATCTAATATACGTGCATAAAATTTAACTTGATATGATCCAAGTCCTTGTAGTCCAAGTTTCCAGTTTAATTGTTTGATTAAATTTGTATTTCCACCAGAAAGGTACATAGATATGTGAACTGTTGAGCAAATTAAGAATACTTAACAGCATTGCATCCGAAAAGTAGTTACACTGATTAAATTTGGTGTCCTTGAGGATTTTCAGGAAATTGCTTTTGATCGTCAATAACACAATTAAGTAAACTACACGCACATTAGCATGAATAATTGATAAGAAATTATGTATAGCCACAAAGTTCTGATTTAATAATTCATGACGCAACACTCTAGTGACTGTTGCAGAACTAGATAAACGTGGAATTCCTGCCTGATGTTGCTTGAGGCAGTGTGCAATTACTAAGGTGGTAGGTGGACGGTTGTGTATACATGATGCATGGTTTAACCTCTTTGTAAAAAAAAAGAATAATAAATTAATAAAGATTAAAATGTAATTGAGATGGCTCAATTTATTCAACAAGGCAGTAAGCGTAAGATGAAATATTCAGTCAGGCTGAACCTCTGTCCATAAAACAATCTTGTGTTTTTTTTAAAATGCACAGAAGACTGATATTTATCAATGACCCATCATATTGTCTTGAGCAATGCGGCTGTGAATAGCATTTTGGAAATGCAGAAAGCTTTTAAAGTTGTTTGGTTTTGCAGTGATCAATTGTCCAATCAATTTTGAGCATCCCTGGCGAAAATCATTAAAACACTAGACTTTTCTTTAAATGTAATGAATATTGCTTTCAACTCTTGCACTATTATGATACAGTAATTACTATAATGCTCATTCAGCACCATTAGAAAAGTGAGGGCATTACATTGTTCCGTAGTCTATTGAACTTCCTTCTTGGATGTTTCATGTTAAAGGTTTCCTTGTCAAGTCTGGCAGGTCTCACTTTTTCAATTATTTTACAGACTCAAAGAATTACAGGCATTGTATTGCAATTGTGCCCAGAAATGGATGACTTTTGAGCAAATCAAATCTCAGGCTGATCAGAAATTTGTGCTATTTACTGTGTAAAAGCTTGAAAGAAAAAACAGATGGTATTGCACGGTGAAATATAACGAGTTTAAAGTATTTTGGATCGGATTTGTACCACAATATAATTCAATGGTATAGATATTGCATCTCAAACCGATACATTCTTGAAACACAAAAAATCCATCACTGATTAACTCTGTACAACACATTGAGGTGATGTGTTCTAAAGAGATTTGGGGTTGATTTTAGTCTCAAGCTTTGCGTTACAACACGTTCTCCATCTGTTTTGTAAATTGTGCACAAAATACACAGGCACTTCACTTTACAGTATACTTTGTGAAGCACTAGGAGAGATCTCGAAGATGTGATAAGGCACTATATGAATTGCAAGAATTAGTACTATTATTATTTTTTTCTCAAGAGCGTCTTCAACTGCACTTTCAGTCATCTGTCCCCTTCCCAGCCCCAGCTTGGATACCCAGTTGGCAATGCTAAGCACTTTGGGATGTCCTCCTGACATGAAAGGCTAATATATATATATCTTTATAAATGTAAATTTGTACTGCATCTATTCTCCAGCTTTTCTCCCTTCTTTAGCCATCCCTTTGAACCCTGAATCAAATGGGCCAAAGGGTCTTCTTCATCATGAAGTATGCACACAATGATGAAATACGCAGTATAAGTTGCCTAATGTTTGCCTGATGTATCCACTTCTCTTGTAGATCATACACTCCTACACATGGATCATACACTCTGACACCACCTCTGGCCTTGACTAAGATATGTGGAGTCCTGTAGTTCAGTGGTTGGAGCACTCGCCTCACAAGCGAGAGACCTGGGTGTGATTCCCGGCAGGGCGAAATGTTGGGCGAGTTTCCTTAATCCACACACCTCTGTTTACCTGGCAGTAAGAAGGAATCTGGTTGTTAGTCGATTGGAGGATCGTTTTTCCGGGGGTAATAATTCCTTCAAAAAAATAAAATAAATTGGTCACTTAAATCCACGATTGTTTGTGGGACACAATTAGCTGCCACAATTGGCTGCATTTCGTCCACAAAATATAAACATGGTGAATTCACTTTACAGTATATTCTGTATACAAAGATGTGATAAGGCGCTATATCAAATGTAAGGATTTCTATTATTGACATAATGCAAATGTTCATATCTCGCTCAAGGCCAGAGGTGGTGTGAGAGGGTTTGGGGCCTCACTGGAGACTTTGTGACCTTGTGGGTGGGCTTGGGGAGATACTCAGGGTGAATGTTGTGTGGGAGCAGGCGCCTCTCTGGTCATCCTTATGAATGAGGGTGAAGCACTAGGAGACAAACAAACAAACAAAAATTACATTAGTATAGCGCCTTTCATGTTGGGAGAACGTCCCAAAGTGCTGAGACCAGGGTTGGTCTATAATAGGGGCAGGCAATTGCCTCCCTCAATTACAGTGCAGCCCATGCAGCACCGGTAACGTTGACTGGCATTTCACTGCATGAATGAAGTCAGAATTCAGACTCGGACTTTACTGAAAGTCATGGTGCAAGCATTGTAGAGAAAGACATGATACAAGGCAGAGATTGACTACTCAGATCACAAACCAATTTTTCTTTTCCGGCAACAGTCAGCGTTCGAGTGCTTTGATTAAAATGGGGTGCTCTGATCACACGAGACAGAATACAATGGAAATTTTTACAGAATTGAATCAAAGTTGGCTGATGTCCCTTCAGGAGCCTTCACCATTGTGGTGAGAGAGGAGAGAGGGGAGGGGTGATCCTGGGCTATGTACTTCCTCACTGTTTAGAGTTTGGACTGAGGCGGGTCTGGGTGAAAAAATTATTTCTATTGTTTATCAAAATGCCAGGGACATTCAAAATAACTAACCAACCGAATGAATGAATAAATAAGTAAGTAAATAAATAAATAATAATCATTTGGTCACTCAATCCACGACTGTTTGTCGTGACTCCCATCTCTGCTGCATATTCACTGCTACCGTGTTTTGCCCACAAAATTAACAGTCAATTCATTTTATAGTATATCCTGTGAAGCGCTTTGAGACATCTCAATAATATGATAAGGATATCAATATAGATATATAGATATCTATATCAAATGCAAGGATTTATTATTATTAATAAAGAGAACACCACTAATGGCTCCTGGAAGCCTGTATTGCAGATCAACGATCTGTGTAAGAATGGCAATGCTTTATTTGCCTTTAGGAAAGCAGATTGTAGGTCTGTCTTTAAAGCTCCGGGGTCTGTCTCCGAGCTGTATGCTGTTGAATGCCGTTGAGGCCTACAGTTTACAACACTGCAATGTTTCTGGATACAACCACCCAACGACAGCACAGTGTTTCAGCATGCCACTGTCTTCTGACGTTGCCAGTAATTCTGCATCTTTAATAATACATCTTCAGCACGAAATAAATTCTGTTGCAAATGAGGACTGGAGCAGTCGGAATGGCCTTTTAAAGGTAATATTCAATATATAATGGGAATTTCAATTGTATTCTGCTTTGTGTGATCAAGTCTGCCCGTTTTAATCAAAGTACTCAAATGCTGACTGGTGCTTAAACAGAAACATTCAAATAATGGTTTCTGATCTGAATAGTCAATCACTCCTTTGTATCACATCTTTTTCTGTTTCGCTTAATCAGTTGCTTTCAGTAGAGTCCAGGTCTATATTTTGACCCAGTGCTCCCGATTTAAAAATACTTTAGTATACTAACAGCATGAGCAGGTGGAGATTAAAACATTTACATCTAATTTAGGGTCCATTATTTCTCAAGTTTTAGAAGGTATAGGAAATCATTAAATAAAATCTGCATTTTTCCCCACTAAAACCTCCTCCCTGCTTTTACAGGGTTAAAAGGCATGTATGTTCCCACAGGACATGTGAGTTTGGATGCCCTGAAACCCTTGGTGTAAATGCTTCAAAGCCT